ATTTTTGTTGCAAACATGGTTTTAATTTATTTTGAATTATTCATATGTTTATAGAATGAACATTTTTATTTTTGATTTAAATGAACAAAATTCGGTTCCGTGTGCCAGAGCTGAGCCAACACGTTGAGCACGTTTCTTCGGGACCTTCTGGTCTTAGAGTTACCTCTATGTTACATATGTGTTTGATGCTAAGTAGGATTAATGAATGGTTAAAGGTCAACTATTTTTAAAGAAACTGAATGGAAAATTGTCTACGGAAATAGAGGAAGAAGGGATAGGGGGTTGCGTAGGCTTTAGATTATACCGTGTCAATAATGACTTCCGAAAGTACTGCTAGAACTGATCGGGTCGCAGTCCAAATATATTGATATGGTTTTGCCCCCACTTTGTTTTTAATTTTGATGGCGACAAAATGTTCAGCACAATTTTTACATAAGATTCATTTTTAATAATGATCCATTTCAACAAAACGCTTCGATGTAGAATGTTGGTATATTCTCGAAAATTGCTTAAAACGTTCAAATCTCGGTGAAAATTTCGAACACCTAGACACCCCTCAAATCGCGATTTAAGCTAAATTTACGGAGATAAACGGGTTTAAAAATTTGGAAGACCCAAATCATCTAAAATAGTACGTTCAGACTACAGAGTTATAACATGTTATAGCGCTATCTTGATGGTGGTTTCTGTGTTGCAAATATTTGACAACCGTTATAACATGTTATAACTCTCCAGTCTGGACAGCGTTTTAGACTAGCGTATAAAGCTGTCTAGTATAACGTCAACATAAGGGTGGTTCAAATTATCGATTATGCTCCACCATGCTCAATCGATTTCAAATTAGATCCTGGTAATTCCCCCAACATTTTAGTTAGCAGCAATCAACTTCGCATTGGAGATGATTTCCGACATGCCCATAGACCATTACTTCATCTTCTCGGATAGTTTTAGTTTGATTGAGGCTATTTGGTCGATGAGACAAGGTAGGCACTCATATTATTTCCCTTCAAAGGTAAGGGAACAGATGAGTTGGCTGGTAGAAAGATCATATATGATTACCCTTGTATGGGTCCCCTTACATTGCTCAATCCCAGGTAATGAGAAGGCAGACTCTCTCGCAAAAGTGGGCGCACAATAAGGCGAGATTTATGATTTATTATGAATTTCACATGATGAATTTTTCATATTAGTACTTCAGAGTTCTCTTTTAAGTTGGCAAAACGATTGGACAAGTAATTCTCTTGGGCGGCGGTTACATTCCATTATTCCAAATGTTTCTTCGAGAGCGTGCTTCAAAGGTCTGGATGTAAGTCGGGGCTTCATTCGCGTGATGTCAAGACTTATGTCGAACCACTACTCGCTAGGCGCACATCTCTACAGAATAAACTTCGTTGACAGCAATATATGTAGGTGTAGAACCGGTTATGATGACATCGATCACGCAGTTTGGTATTGCCCGGGTAATGACGCCTCCCGAGCACGACTGTTGGATACCCTAGTGGCCCGAGGTAGACAACCCTTCCGTGAAGCAAGAGATGTATTGGGAACCCGTGATCTTCCCTACATGCAGGTGATCTTCGAATTACTTTGTTTGTATGATGCGGTGGGGACGACTCTATCTCAGATGCAGGAATTTTTTTGTTTTACTGTTGTGAGACGCACTCGCGCTTAATAGATAGAAACACGATTGATTGTGATTTTGAAGATTTCCTGCAAAAAGGTGGAGAGCGATGCGATTAGATGGGTTTAGCTGCAAGAGATGAAAAAAGATTTTTCGTAGATTGATTCGCTAGTGTGAGATTTTTCGACCATTTCAAAATCGAGATTTAGATGTGGTACCCCATGTTCCAGTGCGCAAAACAGCCAGGTTCAATGCGTCATTTTCATATGAATATGAACTGCCTTCTGCTACATTATTCACTGCTTCGTGAGAGTCTGAATGATTGAGAGGTAAACAAGTCACTGACTGCCGAGCACTCAGTCAGTAGCTCAGTCCGCACGTTTATTCTTACGCGACGGTACCCAATACTTGTTTTGAATGACTGAGCGTACATTTTCTATGGAAAAATGCCTCAATTACATGCTGTGTGAGCGAAGGCAAGCGGTGTGAGTCGCCTAATCGTGAGTGACTGAATGTTTTTGTTGGCTCTTTCATTGCCTCGTCCTTTACCGTTTGGCACCAAACGGTCTGCACAGAGCAATGGATTAAATAGTGCAGTGCTCTCACACTCAGCCTACACACTACCAAAAAGTCATGTAAATTACGGTGCCCTGAGACCGACACATGCAAGCGGCCCAAATGACACATGAATCAGTTGAGAGAAACGAAAAAACAAATTCAATCAATCGTACTTTTCGTCGAGTTGCGTATGTTTCGGTTTGGGAAGACTTAATTTTACATGATATGTTTGTTTACGTTCCATAATTTACGTCAAAGATGGATTACGTCTCGTGTAAAAATAGTTATTTTTAAGTGTGTACCCAACTAACAATTTTCACAATGTAAACGCTTTACTCATTTCATTTATACAGCCTCAAGCTGTATTCAAACGTTATACGATATGAGGAAACCTTTACTCAACCTCTATACAAGCAAATCTGGCGAACTTAGTCAGCTACTTATGGCTGTTGGCACGGTCGGGAGAAGCTCTTATTGCATATCCATTAACGCTTCTATACAGCTGTTATCCTGCTGTTTAGTTGTGTGTGAACTTGAAAAGCGCTTATTCAACCTTTTCCCGGTTATCCAATAATTACTACACAGCTTTCTCTTGAAGCCGGGTTAAATACTGTTTACGCTTTTTTATGAAGGAATTTATTGAGTTTATTTTGCTGTGAATCAAATTAATCGAAATTAGTTACATATCATCACCAAATTATTTACCCTGCACCGGAACCTGGAATCGAACTCGAGACGACCTCATTGGCAAACCTTGACACTACCAACTGTGCTACGCCAACACTTTGAACTTATGTAAACAAATCAACATTCCCTTCTACAACAAAATCGCTGAGTAGAGGCTTTATAATAGTGCACATGAATCACTTTTCTCGACTAGTTATAAAAGAGCAGATTAAAAGCTGTAAAACTGCACACGTCTAAAAATAAACCTAGTTAACTGTGAAAATGCTTCCGAAGTTGCTCTAACACAGTTTATAAGCTGAGTACAGGTTGTTTAGTTCTTGAAAAAGCACTTTTGATGTTTATGTTATTCAGCAAGAGTGGTTGGTTGTGTAGAAGCCATCAAATGGGTAACATATTCACTTTGTTAGCTTTGTTTTGCAGCTACAAGTTGAAAGTTGATTAGTGTGTGTATAGAAGTGACATTTGCGTTTATTGGCTGATGTTATTCACTGCGACTGACAAATTGAATAATGGTTGTGAGAAAGTTGAGTAAACGCTCTCCAAAACTATTTTTCTAGATTTTGCTTGTAGCCGTATCTGCAGCTTCTTTTCAGCTACTTTATAGCACAACGCTGGAAAAGTTGGCTTACAAAGCTGAAAATGTTAGTTGGGTAAGCAGTCAATAATTTTATGCTTTGGTAAATTAAAACATTACTGATTTTTGGCTCCGCAAAGTGTCACACACGACTGAGCCTAGTAAATAAACGAACTAGCAAAAAAGAAAAATTTTAGCTCATTTGGATCCTGATGAATGTGGGCGTCTTAGTGGAATACCTGTATAAGTAGAGAGAGAAGGATTTCCTAGTAATTTCCATTTAATTTCACTACCTTATTGATGAATCTACGTTACGGTTGGCCAGTAGATGGAAATGATGTGAAAATGATAATGTCGTTTTGCTAGCTGTCAAATCGTATGGAATATTTTTTAGTACATCATCACTTTTGTGGTTTTGGATTTCAAACCTAGGTGTCGCATGCACTGGTGCAGTTTTGCGTAGATTCATCAAATTGCTTATCCTTGACAGATACGCGTATTTCGTCTACAATGTACAGACTTCTTCAGTGTCTTGTACTAATACTCGACTCATTTGGATGCGAACTTATACTGCACTGGCCCTTTGATGTTTATAGGAGAAATCAATGTGAAATTTTATCAACGGCAACTTTGCTGAAGACCGCATTTGAATTTAACGTCGGAATAATTAGTTATTAATTGATTAGGAAGATGATATTCTACTGACATGCTTCATCAACTGCTCAGCAGGCAACATTGGTGTGCTTGGCGTAAGTGCAAGATGCGGTGTTGCCCTGAAAGCAGTTGATTTAACAAATCAGAAAGTTATCGGATTTGAAATCAAGTAATAACTAATAATAATTACCTTGAAGTCTAATTAAAAACTGGTCCTCAACAAAGTTGTAGCCGAGGTTGTAGCTGATAAAATTTCACATACAGTGGTGGCCTTTAAAATAGCACAATAGGCCGATTTTCATACAAATCAGCCAACTTCGGTATGATGCAACTATGTTTTGTTGAGCTGAAATTTTCTTGGAAATTTTGACACAGAACTACAAATATGCTGAATTTTGCGTGTACGTTATGTTAAATTATTGGAAGCGCTTACCGGAAATTGACGGGCTGGTTGAAAATGGCCAACTAATTATCACATTTATAATTCGAAATTTCCGAAGTGTTTTAGTTTTAAAATTTTCAACCATATTGCCAATAAACGACGGCGTGCTTAAGAAAGTTATTATAGATGTAAAAAAAATCTTATTTTAGAAGGACGAAGTAAGTACTGAGTAACTGCTTCATAATTAACCGATTAGTGCTAGGATTATGAGTAATTTGATTTTCCATTTTTCCTCCTCGAATCCACTACCGGTTGCTGTGTAGTGTAAACTGTAAGCTAGAACAAAGACCTCGTCGTCGCGTCGGCCGATTAACTCGTCGAATCCCTTCATGCCTCAACTGTCGTCGCAGTCAGTAGCAACACATGCCGGTGGTGAAGCGATTATTTATTTTGTTGCAACCCATCTATAGTTTCAGTTTTCATCCAGACATCAACCTTGTTGGAGGAATAGTGTGTTCGTGTGATCAACATCATCGATCGGATTCTAAATATTATTTTTGTTCCGAAAACCTCGATCGATACATTCTGTAGATCCAGTCAGTTTTTGCATTCTTCTATAAACATCTGGACTCTCGATCTTCATCGTGTGAGTTTGTTTATGTTGGATCGTTTGGAGTGTGGAAAAGGTGAGGTGCCAATAGCCGGGAGTTGTGCGAAGCCGTACTTATACATACTACTGCACAGTTTCAGTCAGTGTGCAGTGACGTCCATCTTTTCTCTATACCTATCCAAACAGAGTCTAACTCGGCCCAACGAAAGGAAAAAAAAAACAGTGTTTGGGTGGGTTTACTCGCTTGCACGCGTGTATACGTAGTTATATGGTCGTTCATGTTAAGACGTAGACGCTTGTGTGGCTTATAAAAGAGTGCTATTTTCAGCCGGTTCCCAATTCCGTGATCATTTACCAACGGTGCGTCGAGTGTGAAGGTTGCCAAGAGACGAGCCCACGAATTTGTGTTGTTTTTCCTGTTTTTTTTGTGTGTAGACTGCTGTGTTTTTAATTTATGCCGAATGACTTTACTGATAAATACCAATTCAGAAATATTGAACCGAGTCGAAATTTCGCGAGTTATCTCCGACTGACTGACCTTTCTGTCTCTGTTTTTGCTAACTGTGATAAGAGTGAAATTGATACGATTGTCAAGAAGTTTCTTTAGCGCTGCGTTGGAAGTGTGCTGCAATAAAGACAAGGTTATCTGTCAGTGTGACGAGGATTTCTGCTGTTACCAAGTGGCGTCGTTTTTGGAATATCAATAAGCTGTAAAACAGTTGAGGTAGGTGGTCTTTACAAAATTTAGATTTGAATTTTGCTTTCGAATAATTAGGGTTGACTTTACTGGACTGTCATGCTACTAGATTGAAATCTATACAATTCAGATTAGTTTAAGCTTTTAAATATCTTAAATTTACGGTTTGCTTAATAGTACACATTTATGAAAATTTGGGACAATTCTCAATTTAGATAACAATTGTTTACGATCGTATAGAAATTGTCTCAAAATCATCTAAGGATTCTTTAGACAACAAAAAATGCGTTCTACTTTCAATCGCAGTCGTATGTAGTGGTTTGTCAATTCAAAAACATTGCTATTCATTCGAGAACCACCCTCAAGACCACACAAGCATAAGCTACCATACCAACACATACCAAATTCGACTGAAATTTCGACTGTGCTAGCATATAAATTTTATTCTTGTTATGCTCTTCTTCCTGGCCTGTTCAGTCTATTTTTCGTGTTTCTGTTTTGTCCCCTTCTTTTCTATACATCAATCAGTTGGGTTGGAGGTATGGTATGGTTGAACACAGCAGTCGAGTAGCGTCACACTTCCACCCCCTCCCTCTGCTTTGTCCTTTTTGTAAAGATCCCTCCGTAATCGAATTTCAGCTGATGCGTCCGTGTGTATGCGATGGATATAGGACTTTACACAGCGGCACAAACAAGCACTGTTTGCGTTATTCTTTTTTTTAAATGATAAAGCAGAAAGATAATAATGGGCCTACTGGTGATTGCAAATGGAGAGATATTTTGGATTGTTGTTTTGTTTGAAAACCAATAAAGGAGATAAAATTATGGGCGATGATGTTTGAGCGTGTTATCTACGACTGACTTATCATCGTAAATACCATATCTTAATGGTTTAAAATTTAAAGAGTAGCAAAACATTGGAACGAGGGTGTGAACTGAATCCTAGTTTTAAGCATGAATGCATGAAATCAGCTTTAATGCTCAATGCAATATGATATGTTTGATCGTAGCTTCTATGCAGGATTTGCATGTATTTTATGGTCTTCAAAATCAAAAAGGCTGAAATTACAAATAGGGCTGTGGAGTCGGTGAATCCACGGTCAGAGTCAGTTTTCCAACTCCGACTCTGACGTAACAATTTTTCGGTTGAATTGTTATTCACGTTAATGCTTATATTTAAAATCACACGTTTGCTAGAAGGATAATTAGTATAATGTTTTATCTAAAAAACTGTGGAATTTTCATGGTTTTAAGTTGCTGCTGGCAGAGCATGCAGCGGTTGAAGTGATTTGCGTGATCTAAATATATGGACTAGTGAAAAGGGACCTATGGTAAACCACCAAGGGACCAAGTATCACAATTGTCGCAACATATTTGTGAAAACTTCTTCGCGACTTATTTTAGTTACAATCAAGTCAAGATTTCGGGACAGATCTATGCTAATTGGGATGAACTAGAGTCGGTGTTTTATAATGAGTCACGCCAAGAGTGAAGCCATAGAAGTAACTCTTAAGACCAGAAGGTCCCGAAGAAATGTGCTCAACTTTTTGGCTCAGCTCTGGTACTCTCTTCGGTCCCAAGCAATCCCCTCGAAACATAGGAAAATCCACGAACCCCTCATTTTATCTGACATAGTTTCATAACTAATCAAAACAAACTTAATTTCAACTAGAATGGGGTGTGTTCATCGATGTACTTGGGACCGACAGGCTAGTCCAGCGTGAGCCAATTTAAAATCGTTAGATTTCACCGGTTGGTGACCTATCTATTGAACTGTCAAACTGGCTACCTATCGTGCAAAATAACCAAACATTACGATGCTTCCTTATTAGAGGGTTGTATAGATTTTTCTCCCTTAGTTTACTTAAATCATTGGTTTTTATTAGCTAGGTAGGTTCAGATTCTACACGTTGTACTTTCATTTTAATACCTGTGATCTTGACATGTTTACCTAGGGGATGAGTACTTAAGGGGGTGTGATTTTGATAAGTCTTTAGTGGGAATGACACTGATGAAGACTGCACATTGTAGTCGAAATACGTATCTGTCATGGATATCATAATTTATAAAGTGGAATGCTTCTATTTAGATAACATTTTGTTGTTGTTTTATTACGATGCTGTTAAAGTTCCACGAAAGGTATTGCAATAAAATATAAAATAAATTGCAATTTATGCAATTTACTTTGAAGTTGTCCGCTTGACAGTTAATATCATTAATATTTATACTATAAATTATAATAATTACCACTGTGTGCAATTTTTACACCAAATATTACTGCAGATCAAGTTGTACTTCCCCTAGACCAAATCACTGTTTTAATTATTTACTACAGCTGTTAACTTGTTTTCTCGCTGGAAGTCATCTGAAGTTGATGCAGAAGTCCTCTGTTGCAAAGTGGAAAGGAAAGGAATCTTTTGAAAACCGTGATGCGAGTTCTACTGTTTTTCTCTTTACGTGACTCTTATACATATACCGTAGAACCCCGTTGGTTTGAATACTCAAAATCACAGTTAAAAGGCACTCATATAGAATTTGTTTAGCTGGCACCTGTGTAGGGGTACCAATTAAACAAATTCTACACACTTAGATTTTTTTGCCGAGATGGGCACCACCGAGCAGCTCGGCAATCTATTAAACTGGACCTCAGTGAAATATTTGCCGAGATTCAGTTAATAAACGGGAATTTTACCGAGATCTCGGCTAACAAACATAAATTTTGCTGAGATCTCAGTAAAAATAAATGCCGAGCCTGCTCGGTGGTGCCAATCTCGCCAAAAATATCTAAGGGTCGTATAATTTTGGTTTAAGGTATTCAAATTAATGGGGTTCTACGGTACTCTAGGATGAACCGTTTCTATATGTTGCTGCTTTTCTACTTAAGGCATGTGAAAAGTAATTACTGGTTGATTCCTCTGTAATTTTTAAAAGCAAATAACAAAACATTTGACTGTGATTAGTGTTCGCATTCCCATTCACATTAAGCTAGTTGCACAAATTCGTAGGTAGTACAAGTCCTAGACCATTGTATGCCACCTCCGTCCGTTACCATATAGACCGAAATTGGGGGTTGATTTAGCCCTCTTAAACGGAGGTGTTCCCCTCTCCAACAATCGAGAACTGTCCTGCTAATTGGGTTCTTTAGGGGTATGGAGGTAAATGCATATTCGCAATCTGCGATTAAAATGGAACCGAAATCCACAATTAGCAAAAATCCCCGTCTTAGCGCTCCTTGGTGGGATTTTGTATGGGATCGATCTGTAATGGTAATGGATTTTTAATTAAACAATAACTTAAGTTAAATTTGACTTTAGACTTCCTCCTGGCTGATGAATCTGCAAAATAGTCTTGTTCGCAAAACTCGGGAGTCACTATCGTGATTAGAACTGTGAGTGGAAGCCTTCCTGAAACCATTATTGAGCTTTAATAGGATTTACTGTACAGTTACGATGTGCTTTAAACTTTCTTGCGATTATCTATGAGCTTCTTTGAATTTATATGAGGTTCACTATACTTTCCATATGATAACAAAGCTATTATGAGGCTCCCTACATTTTTTATGAAATTCTTTGAACATCTCTAAAAACCTTAAGCTTCCATGAGGTTCCTTGAATATCTTGTATTGTTTTCAAATTTCTCTGAGGATCTTTGAGTTTATTAAAGCATTGAGCTTCTCTAATGTTTCTTTTCAAAGTTATCTAAACTTCTTCGTTGACATTTTCTAAGGTTTTTTATGAACTTCTCCAAAGTTTTCTTCAGCTTCCTCAAAGGAATGAATGTTAACCACTACACCGGGACAGCATTCGAGTCTTTTAAAAGTTCCCCTTAACTACTTTGTAGTGCGTATGTGTATATATTCCTTCTAACCCCCACTGGCCGGCAGTGTTATTATGGAAGAACTCTCTCTACAATGTCGCATTTATAGTCATTGTAGACAGCTTTAGTCCGGGAGTTAGAAAGTGATAGCTCTATTGCAGATCCAGCAACCCATTTCACAATGTCTGGAGAGTCACGCCCATTCCGAGATTACTTTAACTTATAGTACGTTCAGACTACAGAGTTATAACATGTTATAGCGCTATCTTGATGGTGGTTTCTGTGTTGCAATTAGTTGACAACCGTTATAACATGTTATAACTCTCCAGTCTGGACAGCGTTTTACAATAAGCCCCGTATGTATGCAACACCGTTATTAAATGGATATTGGTATTACATACACGCTTCCAGGTTCGAAAAGTATTCGGACTGGTCTCACCATGTTAACTTGATCCTCCAATCCATGGGTTCCGAAATTTTGATTTTCTCTAAGCTTTGCATCTCATTTCGTGATGCACCTTTGTCGTAATGCTTCCTTCAACGAACACAAATGTTCTTGCATTGCCATGGTCATCTGGGAGGAGGTTCGCGTTTAGTGCTTGCCCAAGGAACAGTTCGCGGCCACCAATTGCCACCCGTCCAGTCTTGGGCGTATCCAGCGAGGCATCTTTCATATTGCTCGGAGTCTCCGACACCGGCGAGAGACCAGCAGCCGAGCACGTTTGCAAGTGGAAAATTTGCTGATTCACGGCAACGTCGGCCACCGAATCACCACCAAAACTCGCGACGGACACATTATCAACACGTTCCCGGGTCAATTCACCAACCGGACCGATTTCTCAATAGAACTACACGCCGAAAGTGTAGCATCCGAACTCGGAGAACCGCGCTCCCGAGAGGTAATGAAAACCGACACCGAACAATGGAACTGAAGCTGCGACGTATATTTTGGAGGTTAGATTCAAGGTCAACCGAGTCACTCAAGGCAAACATAGGCAAAACACGATATATCACTAAATGATAACTTTATGAACATAATTTGGAGGCGAACCAGCCCAAGGCTGAAAGCCTCCCTAATAAAGTTAAATAATAATAATAATAACTTTATGAACACTTGAAATTAAATTTCAGCACACAAACTAACAAATTTAAAGCAAAAAATGTTTAATTAGCTGACGAAAATGCGCAGCAACAGAAAAACACGTCAACTT